AAAGAAAAAAGAAAAAAAAACAAATAAAAAAAGTGAGAAAGGAAAGAAATAGAAATGAAGAAAAGAAGAGATAAAAATTATATTAAAAAAAAAAAAAAAAGAAAGACATTGGACAGCTCGGGCCTAGGTAACCTGACAATTTGTTTGAAAGAAATTTCGTCGGAGGAAAGTTGATCGACGGAAATTCGATCGAACGGAAATTCGGTCGAATATTTTCTTCCCGTTAAAAACTTTAAAATGTTTATCAAATTTCTTTTTGAACGCACTAAAGTACATAATAAAAAAAAAAATGCGAAAAAATCATAAAATAATTTTGACGCAAAATTTTAACGTGTGAACGGAAAAAAAGATTCGATCAAATTTCCGTTCGATCAAATTTCCGTCGATCAAATATCCGTCGACGAAATTTCTTTCAAGCAAATTTCCGGACACGCGGAGCTACTGTACCTTTACTGAGTTATACGGTATTATTAGAAATCACGCATTTGGAAAAAACACTGTAACAAATATCCTTGATCAACGCATTTCTAACTAAAAACGTCCTGATAAATTCAACAACAGATTCATTGCTAGCATCCTTTCTTTTTTGTGACATCATCATCGCCCCATGCTAAAAGTTCATCAGATATATACCATTGGTGTGATGAGCTCTGTGCATGCAGGGGCGCTACTGCTACCAACGCGTTATGTAGAACAATTGACGCCAGCAGAAAGGGAAATAGAGACGTCTTTATATTTTAAAAAGACAGCAATACTCCGTACCCTTTTGAAGTTTAGAGCCCAATAGGTCAATGGGCTCTTTGGGGCGGAGGGTGACTAACTCAACACGTGGGTTGCTAAAATATCCAATTGACCTAGTCCATAGGTGAATGTAAGTTTATCGTCTCAGGGGCTGAGTAAATTTAACATGTTTGTGTGTGTGGGGGGGTGGGGGTGGGGGTTTGAGATCACTTTCATTACATATATAAATAGATATATATACATGTATTTTAATTAAAAGGTCCTGAATAATAATTAAACATTATTTCGCAAATTTGTTGATCTTTCTTGTAATTTAACATTAGTTTATGTTGAAATATATAATTAAACTAGTTTCCAGAAATACTTTAACAACCTAAAATAGTCCCCTTAAAACCAAACACACACACATTTTAATGTATAGGCCTTCTTGTTTTGTTTTTTTTTGTTTTTTTTTTTTAATTTTGTTTCGTTATTATTTAAATATTAATATAGAGTCCTATTTTTTAAAAGGTTCCCCTTGAGAAATACAACAATGTACGCCAACGGTTCAACGATTTGGTGTCACCGCGTTATGGCCAATCAAACTAAAGCAATAGATGCGGGAAATGACCAGCTAACATGTTTGACACTGACGTTCATAGCGCTTTCATATCTTTAGACGAGAGCAGTAAAGGATTTATTGACAACAGTAGGTTTACAATCTGTCTAGGGGAGTGATGTAAAAATGGCCGCTTGCTGTTGATAAGCCGGAGAAGGGGCACGTGGAGACTGAAGAACCCACGTGACTCAACGTGAGCTGCATGCGGTATACTAAAGTTTCAATCGCTTGGGCCTAATGCCCTACATCGACCAGATTCTAATTTACCATTTTGTTAGCATCGAATGAAGCAGATTTTGCAAATCAGACATCATAACCTTGTTTAAAATATAACTCGGATAAATCAAATATGTAATATATGGTCTCACGTCACATTCTTTTAAGGAAACCAATCACAACCTCGAATGCCCACATCTGAACTGCACGCCCTATATTGCTACCGGTAACAAGAGTTATCCACATTTAAAGTTATTACAATATTAAGCCCTAACACCCATTTGCCCATGTCTGCAGGCCCGTCGACAGAAATTTCGGGCCCCTAGGAAGGGCTGTCACGGGCCCCCCGAAGTGTGAGCCTCTAAACTATCTTTAGGCTTTATGAGAATTTTAAAAAAAAATTGACAGATCGTATACTTTGTATACTTGAAGTTTAATCTGATTGTAATTAAGTTTAGCTAAGTTATATTTACGAAAACATAAGTAATACATTTTTTATAGCTGCTCATAATATTTTGAAAAGTTGATTGCGGGCCCGGGCCGGGCCCCTGGGCATTTGCCCCCCCCCCCCTTTCTCGGCGGGCCTGCATGTCTGCATTCTTTGGCGCACCGTAGGGATTTTTGTTTTAAACTGCCAACCAAAATACCCATCTACTGTAGTATTTCTCCAAGAAAATCTGCTGACTCCCAGAGAACAAATTCGGTAGTCAAGCGTTTTGGTCCGCGGGGCCAGATTTTGGACATGCCCAGATGTCCGGACACACTGCCCGGGGCAAACCCTAGATCTACGCTCGCTTTTTCATTGGTTGCTGAAAACATGAAGTGGCGAGAAATACACTGACTTACTTTTACTACTCATAGTTGTGCAGTAGTCAAGTGAGTATTAGGTCAAATCACCTCACACTCACTTTTCCAGTTGATCACGCTGTGGTCCAAACATTTCAAGACTTAACTTAAACTTCTTGTCTGTGATCATTCTATGGTGCGTGATCCAAACACTGCAAGACTTAAACTGCTAGTCCCATTATGGTTGCACACTACGTCTGCCACCGACTCGTACCAGAAGACTGCTACGTCCTGGTCACGAAGCTTCAGTTTCACGTGTTCACTTGCCTGGATATCACAACATCAGCTTGAAAACTCGTCTTGTAATTTTTCTATGTGTGATTTAAACATTGGTCCAGTTTGATCAAGCCGTTTTTTGCCATATAATTACGGACTGCATACAAATTTAACATGACCCTTGAGGTTGTTGTTGGTTTTTTTTTTTTTTTTTTTTTTTGGGGGGGGGGGGGTGCATTCATTTTATACTTATCAGTACCGAGGTAACCTGCATTTTTGGAACGAATTGTTTTGTTTTTTTAAATAAATATTTTCCTGTATTATTTGTACTTGTTAGTCTTGAAACATGTAAAAAAAATTAATAATAATTAATATCATCCGATAGTGGCAAAATATCGATACCGTGTGTTCGCCTTGAAACTTACGGAAAGCGCACTTTTGCATTTGCCGGCCCAACAATTTGGAACGCACTTCCAGTCGTTCTCAGAAACAGCCAGACACTGGATTCCTTTAAAACCGATTTAAAAACACATCTATTTCGCAAACACCTTCTGGGGTGATGCTATCTACCATCTTTTTCAGTTAATGTATATTGGTTTGTGTTGCTTATGGTTGAAACGGGATGAAAGACTTTGACTGGGTATGCTCGTATGTAGCTTTATATTGTTGCGTCTGTTTTTAAATGTGGTAAATTTTTGATTGTTTTTATTTCTCTTTTTAATATGGTTGACATTGTACCACGCTTCGAGCTTTTGGGGATGAAGCGTGTTTTTCAAATAAACTTTATTAGGTATTATTATAAACATGCTTTAAGAAACGTCTAACATGTAAATGTTTAAAAATGCAGGCTTTGAAAGTAATAACTG